TTTTATTATTTATTATTATTATTAATATTACTATTATTATTTATTTATTTATTTATTATTATTATTATTATGTTTATTTATTAATTATTATTTTATTATTATGATTGCTATTATTATTAAGAGAGTGAGAAAGGATTATTGTTGGCCTCGCCTACGCGAGGTATAGGTAGTTGTTGTGTGTGTCTGTCATTCATTCATTCTGTACAACTGAAATTTGTTTTTAATAAACAATAACTTTAGCACAGCGTGTTCTAAGCTCTTAGATCTTTCTTTTTGACGTGGAAAAGTCTTTCTTAACTGTTTTGTGTTGCTCAAATACAAGTGCTAGGTACAGAAGCTTCAAAGTAAGAAAATCGAGTAGTTGGGCCAAGTTCCGTTGTGCTGGCACTTTAGAGATAGCTGGTAGCATTTTTCAGTAGATTAGAACATGGCCTTCAAAAAGTATGAACAGATTTCTCTAAATCTTACTTGATGAAGAGTTATACTTACTTGAAATTGTTGAGGTCACTCGTTAATTTTGTGCAGCGCTAGAGTAACAACTTGCTGGGTTATAGGTACTAAAGTACCTATACTATCTCAAATATACAAAGGCAGCAACTTTTTTTGTCAGCAAGTTTATCATATATTGCTGATTAGTAAAGAAAAAGTAAAGCTTCTTTCTCACATGGTCTTCTTGCTGCCACTCATGGAATGCCACACCTTTCAATCTACATGCATGGGAGGGGCTGGAGCTGCTTGCATATATGTGCTGCAGTGCTGCTACTTCTGCAGGTATTCAAGAGCAAGTGCAACTGTAGGAAGTTAGTGTTGAGCAGACTCTCTTCATGCTGATAATCAAACAGTTATTGAAGTGCGGGCATGCACCATAGCAGCTATAGGGGCGAGGCCATGCACCGTAGGTGTCTCGTTATTATTATTATTAATAATATTATTATTGTTATTATTTATTATTATTTTTATTTTTATTTTTATTTTTTATTATTTTTATTTATTTACTATTATTATTATTATTATTATTATTATTATTATCTTTATTATTATTTGTTATTATTATTATTGTTATTATTATTATGAGAGTGAGAAAGGAAATTTTATTATTATTATTATTTATTATTATTATTATTATTATTATTATTATTGTTATTATTAATATCATTATTATTATTTATTATTATTATTAATATTACTATTATTATGTATTTATTTATTATTATTATTACTATTATTATCATTGTCATAATTATTGTTATTGTTGTTATTATTATTGTTATTATTATTGTTATTATTTTTGTTATTATTATTGTTATTGTTATTATTATTATTATTGTTATTATTGTTATTAGGATGTATTATTATTATATTTTATTATCATTATTATTGTTTGTTATTATTGTTATTGTTATTATAATTATGAGAGTGAGAAAGGAATATTATTATTATTTTTAGTTTCATTTATTATTATTACTATCATTGGTATTATTATTAAGAGAGTGAGAAAGGAATATTGATATTATTATTATTATTATTATTATTATTATTATTATTATTATTATTATTATTTATTATTATTTTTATTTTTATTTTTCTATTATTTTTATTTATTTACTATTATTTTTATTTTTATTTTTATTATTATTATTATTTTTTATTATTATTATTATTTTATTATTATTATTATTATTATTATAGCAATAGTAGAATTATTAAAAATACAATTTAGGATAATGA